ATTTATTTCATGTAAAATATTTTTTTAATATTTTTTCAAAGATTCACCTATTTTTTATGAAAAAAGCATAAAATTTCAAGTGATTTGGATTTGTAGAAAAATAAATAAAATTCAAACACTACCAGACATCCGTGATCGTCAAATCAGCCCAGATTCAATTTAGGCCGTTGGGCTCATATGTTCATATGAGCTAACGGGCTAGCCCCAGCTTTTTCCATACATATATGCAACGCATATATATACAAATACATATTTGTAACTGATAGCTAAGAACTTATAAATATTTAAATTATTTTGATAAGTTATAAAAATTATAATAAATTGTAACTTTTATTTGAAAAATTAATTAATACATCTAATGGACTTAAAAACATAACGTCAATTACAGATAAACCTACAATATAGTCTAGCAAGACCACCGTGAAAAACTTCTATTTTTTTCTTCTACGCAATTAAAGCATTAAACTCCCCTATTAGTTTGTAATGCACATGCCCCTTTCAAATATATAATGAAATACAATATTCATTTTAAATAAATTCTACATTCATGTTGACTTCTTTGAAATAAATTTGACACAAGTTAAGCGGGTAACACAATATAGCGCCAACATAAAAATGACACATTGCACTACTACAAGATTAATTGAAAACAAACCTATAATATAATCTAGCAAGATCATAATAAAGAACTTCCAATTTATAATTTTAAAGCAATCTAATGAACATGTCCCTTTAAACTCTATAATGAAACAATATGTCCACTTTAAATAAATTCTACATTGATGTTAATTACTTTAAAATGAATTTCATAAGTCAAGTAGGAAGTAGTACAACACAGTGGCACCACAAAAATGACACTTTCCATTGCTCAAATCAGTGGCTTACTTAAGATTAGTACTTCTTTAAAATAATAACACAACTTGTGCGAGAAACACAATATAGTGCCACCACAAAAATGACATGTTGTATTGTTCTAAACAATAGCTTACTTAATATTAATATTAACTTTAAATCTTAATAAATTATTTATTCCTTTATAAGTATAATATCAACTTATCAATCAAATTATAAAATTACTAAGTTACATATGTTCTGACTCAATTTAAGTCACATAGTCGTTCTTACAAGTTCCTATAGTAGGAAACTTTCACTATTACTTTTTTCTTAGTATCTCTAGAGCCACTTATAGTTGACACCGAAACTCATCACACAAATTGAGTTGGCAACACAACAAATCAGCACCATAAACATAACGCTCTTAAAATGTAGAATTAAGGTGCACTTAAAAAATCCATTGTAAAAGACTATTTTTAAGTTGGAAAAACCGTCTAATTGATTATCTCCTCTCTAATTGATTATCTCCACATCGAGATGTATGAATGTGAAAAAGAAAAAAGATTTTGTGTCTCAAAAATAGTGCATCTTGCAACATATTATCCGAACCATCCAATTTCAATACCTTCATGTGTTTATAGATCTACTTAATTTGAACCATTTTTTTAGTCTAAAATTTTATAATTAGAGATGAAAATAGATTCTCAGAACATCCTATGCATTTTTTACGCCAAAATTACATCTTATGATAAAATTTGATGGTGCACCTTACTTTGATGGTTTATGGTTGCAACCTTATGTAAACCACACCCTTAATAGAAAAACCTTATAATTTATTTCAAGAAAAATCAAATCACGTGCGGAGCACGTGAATTCCACTAGTAATTATAATCCTTACATATGCATTGAGCTGGACCACTTTCTGCATTAGAAGTTCAAATCATGATATCTAATGCAATATGAATAAAATTAGAGTCTAAAGACGTATTATTCTCTTTCTTAAGATGGACAATAACTTGACATTAATCAAAATCATTTCATCTTTAATCTCATATTTACGAAATCAATGTTTTAAACCCTGGAGTTGGGTCAGGACTTGCTAGGGTCAGCCGGCCAGGTCTCAACAATACTCGACCAAGTTTGGTGTCAATTTGTGGATGGCCAAACTGGGCAGCAATCCCTGGGAGGGCGCCCAGCAACCACCCCTGAGCGACCGCCCAGGGCTTGCGCCCGGCCTAGGGGCGAAAATTTATTTTATTTTTTTATTGCATTGATTTTTTTTTTTTAAATATAAAGGATTTAAAGGATGGGTTTTAGGTTCATTTCAAACCTAAACCCACAAGAACCCATTTTAGAGAGAAATAAACCTCAAGAAAACTAAATTTTGTGGCTTTCATAAGATCGAAGTGTTTCTCAAAGTTACAGAAAACGGATCCAAATATCACCCAGGCAGATTTGATTTAATTTTGGAGATTTATAATCCTATTAGAGGGTGTTTTTTATTATTCTAGCACCAGAAAACATCTCAAAGGTGGGAATATGGAGTTCGAGGTGCAAAATTTTATTTCTTAGATTGCTTATATTATTTTGAGATGTCTTCTTCAGGATCTAGTCGAAGTGGAGATCCGGGTTGGCAATGTGGATATAACTTGAATCCAAATGACAAAAATTGTATTAGATGCAATTTTTGTGAAAAAGATACGAAAGGGGTTATAAACCCGTTTAAGAAATATCTTAACGATATTAAAGGGGACTTTTTTTTTTCTTTTTTTTTATAACAAAAGAAATTTTTATATTAAGGGGGATGTTGCCCCTTATAAAAATATTCCTGAAGCCATTAGAGAGGAGATTAAGCAATATATGAGTTCTGTAAAATAAAAACATAAAAAAAATCGTTGTCATTTGAATAGGTCTATTTCTGCTACTTCTAGAAGAAGTGATCCAGGTTGAAAGTATGGTCATAACCCAAAAACAAATGATAAAAATTGTACAAGGTGCAATTTTTGTGACAAAGATACTAATGGAAGTATTAACCGATTCAAGAAACATCTTGCCGGTATTAAAGGGAATGTTACTTTTTGTAAAAAGGTTCCTGAAGCTATTTGGGATGAGATTAGACAACTTCTGAATTTAAAAGAACCAGAAAATGATGAAAATGAGCCTTGTTCTGTGGAAATATCTTCTCCAGGTTCTTTTAAAAGTGGTGATCCGAGTTGGAAGTATGGTTATAACCCGAATCCGAATGACAAAAATCGTATTAAATGTAATTATTGTGGAAAAGATACTAATGGGGCATTTATCGGTTTAAAAAACACCTTGCTAGCATTAAGGAGGATGTTGCCCCGTGTAAAAATGTTCCTAAGACTACCAAGGAGGAAATTATACAATATTTGAGTTCAGAGAAGCACAAAAAGATAGAAAAGTGTAGAGTAGCCAAGACTCCTAGGGCCTCATCTGCACATACTAGTAAGATGGAGATAAAAGAAGATGAGGAGGAAGAGACAGATTCAGAAGAAACAGCAGAGCACGAGCGTTATATTGAAGAGAGAGACGACACTGATGATGATGGCTTCGATTCTGACACATATGATGAAGCTTGCCCTATTCCTTCTGGTAAGGATGATGATGATGATGATGATCATGATAATGATGACTGAAGAGTGAAGATTCTTGGTGTTGATTATTGACTGTTGACTGTTGTATTGACTATTGTGTCCTAGATTGTCTATTTTCTGAATTTCTGTATATTATTTTTTCTTATTTCTAGTTTCTAGTTCTACTATCTAACTTTTGTGTGTACAGTCTACAGTGTATTAGACTATCAGTGTATGCTTGTATGGTTTTACTGTTTGAGCATTGTATGAAAATATGGATTATGGTATTATGGATTATCAAAATTCTCTTATCGACTTCTATCTTTTTTTTTAACTGGGATTATGGCTATACCCTCAGTCACACCGTGAGTCCCTCTATCAAGGGCCAGAACTTGGGCCGCCCAGGTTCTGGGCGCCCGCCTAGGCGCTGGGCAGCCTGGACCCCCATGGTCGCCTGGGTTCCGCCTAGCACTTTTTGAAACACTGTTTATGCACAAACTCCGTCTTGAGGTAAAAGTGTTATGCACAACTCCTTCCAAAAATTCAGTATTATTGCGAATACACAAGTATTGAAAAGTTGTCAACATAAGACTCTTCACATATTATATCATTTAATGATAACTAATCGCACATATCAGTTGAGTGTGAACATACTAGGTGTTCAAATCTGGTAAGAAATATATACCTACAGATGTCCCATTCTTCGATGATTCGACCAGAGCGGAATCAACAATGTCTTTGAGATAGATGATTTTTGAACCCCTACGAACTGCGTTGCACGTTATGATGACTTTTGGTTTGCAGTCTATAATTCTTTGCGCAAGAGATTCTGCAGAAAATCCAGCAAATACCACCTAAAAAGGTAAAATTAAGAGGTGAGCAATGGGATGTGACTTAAATCCCAGTAAAATATCACAGAGGTATCACCATACATGCATTTGCATAATTCATGTCCAGATACAAATTACAAGCATTTCAAGAAAATAATGTACATATATGGTCAAGCGCAACCGAGTATGCCTGAATATGGCCTTGAGTTTTCGAGCCACGCCAAGCAAAGAGAAAAGGCAAGTCCCCCATCTTTTTCTTTTTCTTTTTTGTCAAAAAATTTATGCTCCAGTGTGTGTATGTTCCTTCAGGTAAAAACCTAATCTAGGAGCATACCCCAAATTTAGGGATGTGACCTCCTCAACCTAGCAATCAACCTCAAAAAGAAAAAATTGCATACATAAAAAAAAATTACAAACATTTATATGTTTCTTAAAAGAAGTGTCCTAAGATTGAATGAGGACACTCCAAGTTTTGGAGCAGATCCAAGTGTTCAAAAACTCAAAATCTGATATTTTTTTGGACAATGATCATCTAGTGATACTATTGGATGCCAAAAATTTCGATCAAAAAATTACTCCTAATAAGTCTTTTGCCCTAGGGAGTAGTGCACAGTATGATCCCATGGGAGCATCTTTTGGAGTACCACATTTTATTGAATCATGGTATATCTTCTAAAGGCATTAATTGAAGGAAAAGTATTTCATGTGGCAGGGGGACAAACTTCCATGTAAGTGTCCCCCAAACACATCAAACATTCATCTTAAAAATGGATGTGAAAAAATGTGGCCCCACCAAACCTAAAATGGACGGTGTTAAAAACACCTCAAAAAATACCTTCTTTTTTTAATTCATGTTCACCATGGCTGAGGGTCTCAACCCCAAGAGATGGATTTTGGAGCGAAAACTCATGCAAATAGATGAGTTGATTGACTCATCAAAACCTTACCTTTAACTGAAAGAATTAATATATTATGTCTATGAAACAGACTTTGATTCATATATCAATAATCTTAGTATATAATATTGTCAAAACATTGAAACATTAAGAAATATAAATCATAGCAGTATATAACATTCTCAGAACAGTGAAATATCCAAACAGTCTCATATATTAATAATATTAATATATTATATTATTAAGACATGTAAATCAATATCAAATATCAATAATATTGATATACTATATTATTAAGACATGTAAATCATATCTATACTTAGCATTTGGAGGGTATTGATTCTTGGCACGTATATTAACACTGAATTTTTTGGGGCCCCATAAAAAAAATTTCATTATTGGAGATTCCATTTTAATTAAATTAAATAAAGAGATAAAAATTTCTTCCTCTGGTATTAACTAGATATCAAAAATAAATAAACAGAACTCTTTAATATTACTTCACGTGTCAGATTTCCCAAATCTCGTTGAAACTCATCCTCTATTTCTCCTAATTTGCTATTATTCATTTTTATACATACTTAAATTATTTTAATATTTTAATATTAAAAAAAAAAAAACTCAAGTTTTCCTAGAATCAACTGAAGCACCAAAGCGCTTCTTTGTCCTGACCAAACTGAAGAAACCTCGAAAGCAAACAAATGTTGAGATTGGATAGAATCTTTTCTGTCTTTTTTTTTGGGCCTTTGATTTTATTTTTATTTTTTTGTTGTTTTTTTTTTGGGGGGGGGGGGGGGGGAGTGAAGGGGTGGGGGTCGATCAGTAGGGCTAGGGTCCCCTACCCGTGATAAAAATGGAAGTCAAGACATCATGTTGTGGCACCCAAAACCCTGACCACCTATACTTTGATTTCATGCCCACATTGAATAGAACCTCATTACAAGCAAGTGAAAAAGGAGAAATAAAACAAATTTCAGATACAAAACTTGACATTAAAACAACGCAATGACGAGTAATTGCACATACTGAATGAACAGCTCCAATGCGCGCACATGCCAGCATTGCAATGGGTAACTCTGCAAGCATGGGTAAATAGATAGCAACCGCATCTCCCTTTCTTACTCCAATGTCTCTCAAGTAATTGGCTAACTGTTCATGGAAGAAATAAAAGATCTCGTAAACATCATGTCAAGATTAAAAGGGTAAAATTTATGGGGAGGGGAACCTGGTTCTAATTTAATTACCAGATAGGTACAGGTCAATAGTGCTGATGCATTAAGAAAATTAAATGGTTCACTTTACCTGGCAAACTTTCTCCAACAGTTGGCTGTATGTCAAATTCCCATCTTGACCAGGCTCATTGCCTTCCCAATATATAGCAATCTGTCCACCATTTCCAGCTTGGATGTGTCTATCCAGTGCGTTATAGCATATGTTTGTTCTGCCACCTTTGAACCACTGGTCAGAATTAAAAGTTAATATATGCTTTTCCAGCTCAAAGCATGCCATATACGGCACCACTCTAAAACTAGACGATTCAAGATATTACAAACTCAACCTACACTAGACCATCATGTGGGGGCTTCAGAGTTCAGGCCATTCAATATAGCAATACCATGCGACCAGGATTCAAAATTAAACACAACAGTACTAAATCTGTACAGTGATATAAATAAAATAGATTCACAAGAAATAAGGATATAATCGTTCACTGTTTATCGGTACCATCCGGTTTATGCTCAAAAGGTCACATCAAGATATATAAGCTTGATAATTCTCTTTGAGAGATTCAGAAAGGTGTTCTTAGTTCTATAAGCCAAAAAGAAACTCCAAAAACATGGCAAAAGCTGTAAGTGCAGAGCAAATTTAAGCAGATTTTTACTTTGAATGCTCTAGTACTTTAATGATCAAAAAAGGAAAAAGCATTTCATCAAACATTGTGCCACATCAATGGGAAAAATCTCTAATAAAATAAAATGTATATCGATCATTTAAATAATAAAATGTATATCGATCATTTAAATACTCGAAAATGCAGAATGGTCCTAGATTTTGAAACTTTAATCTGCTTGAAAAGGACTTAACTATTGATGATCAACCTAATTATTAATTATTAAAATTTGATATTTCATTATCACTCACTAATCATTAATTATGTGTCAAAGTTTGGAAACAGGGATTAAAAAATGCATCATATAAAAAAAACAAAAAAAGAAACATCACAAATAGCTGAACCTATTGTTTTCCCAACAAAAAACTTGATCCGTATAGATATGAAACATGCGCTAAACATGATTGCTTTTGTTCATCTCTATATCTATGCCAACTTTACTATGTCCATTTCTATGACAATTTTGAATTTATAAATACCAAAAAGCAGTTCAAAAAAGACAAAGAAATACTGAAAGTGGATATTCTCCATTGTGATTTTAATGCTTAGCTTGCTTACCTCAATATTCACAGTCCCTTTACGAATGTCCATATTCTCTGAGAAGACTTTCTCCCCCCATTTAACTTCCCAATAAAACTTTGAAGCTATATCAGACCAGAAACCGGCCGGATCTTCAATGGATCGCTTGTACATGGACATATACTGATCCAGAGCCAAAGAGAAGTATAAGAAATTAACATTTCAAATGTGAAAGAAAAACCATTACAATGACACAGAGATCACAGATTTTTTGAAGTTTGTCTGAGTTTAAAAAAAAGGTTTGCCAAAAAGTTTCTGACTTTGACTTCAGAATTTGGCCTTTTCAGAAAATTGCACCTTTTTAAACTTTGATAGGATATTCTGCGAGAGCCAAGTTAATTTTCAAATTTTTCAGAGCATGTCCAGCATTCCTCCAAATTTGAAAAATCCTCAATTCATAATAACTGTTCCATTGAGATGCAAATTTAAGGAACCCTCCATCCTTAATCACTGAATCGAATGGTACCATGAAATCAACCTAAAAACTCCTAAAATTCAAAGCAATAAGAGCAAAAGAAAGCTCATTTCTCTATCAAAAATCACCTGCTCCGGCGATGAAACCAGCGCTTGACTAGTAAACTCCTGACTTGGAAAAACCAGATCATCCTCCTCAGAAGCAAGAGATTCACCAAGAATAACAGCGTTCAAGTGAGATATCTTTCCAGCGCCAGAAGGCAGGGTCGCCATTGATTCCACATGCCTAAGATGACCAGACGTCACAACGCCTTTTGCATTCCTAGAACCCAAAGGCGACGCCATTGAACCAGAAGAGCGCCTTCCACCTAGACAGAGAAAGCGACCCGCACCAGAAGAAGAAGAGCCCGATTGAGGAGAGAGAAACAAAGAGCTAGGTTGATGAGAGAGAAAGTCAACCGCACCAGAAGAAGAACAACACGAAGACAAAGGACTCGATCGAGGAGAGACAAACGAAGAGTTTAAATCAGGAGATAGACACAAAGAGCTGGAATGAGGAAAGAGAACCGAAGAGCTCGATTGATGAGAGAGAGAATCATGGACCGCACCAAAAGAAGAACAAGGAAAACAATGAGGAGAGAGAAAAAAAGAGCTCGGTTGATGAGAGAGAAACAAAGGAGAGAGAGCTTTTATAGAAAACGCTGGAATCGAAGAGAGAGGATGAGGAATTGCAGAGAGGCGGAAAGAGAAAATCGGGGAACCACAAATTGCGAGTTGGTACGATTGGAAAATAGCCATCTCATATTGAAAAAAAAAAAAAGCACCTTGCTTACCCGTGAAGCTGAGTAAAAGATAAGTGAAAATGGAAAACAAACAAAAAAAAAAACAGAAACAGACCAAATCACATGTACTATAAATAAAAGGAAAAGAGTAAACTTAGAAAAATATAAATAAATAAAAGTATATTTTAGAATAGAGAAAAATAATATTGGGAATGGATATAGCTGAAGATATTAGGGGACAAGTAAAAGTGATTATTTGAGTTGACTAAATTGGTTTTCCAAATCAATAAGGAAATAAAATAAAGTTTATCCAATTAAGAAGTCTAAAATTGGGTGGCAAATTCAATATAATAAGAGTAGTACGATTAAATAAAAATAGATATGTAATTGACAGTTGCAGGGTTTCCTTGAAGGAAGTGCATGAGAAGGGAAGAGAGAGAATGGCTTTCTTGTGACGGAGTTGCGTGGACGGTGTGGATTTTTATTTTATTTTTTCCGTTAGAACCTATGATAGGCAACGCTGCCAACAAATATTAAAAGAGTACTCCCAATAGCGTGGATATTTATTTTATCTTATCCGTTAGAGCCTATGATAGGCGTCACTCGCAACAATTATTATGAAAGTACTCCGGCGGGACCAGACTATACGATGTACTATAGACTCTTTCTCTCATGAAAAAGGGTTTCGCTTAAATTTATGTTTCTGGCGGGCTGGACAACATTTCTACCGGGACCACATTTCTACGATAAGCGGTCCCAAGGTATAAAACATCAATTTTAAAGATGGATGAAAAGAAGTGGTCTATCTAAAAACAATTGAAATTAATAGTTCAAATGTTTTTTCTGATAAAATTATTATTTTTATTTTATATTCATGATCTCCATATTAGAGATTGTATGTCATTAAAAATTGGGTCCGAAAATCCATCTCAAAAATAGATTTTTAAGAGTCGGCTCATTTCTACATGGACTCATAGAAACCGTGTCCAATTTCAAATTAGGTGGTCGACACAAAGTTCCATAAAAAAAATATTATGGAAACCTTACTTACCTCAAGCTATCCAATTTGATATCTAATGAGTGGAAACAATTTTTACCTCTATATACAAAAGATAAAGGAAAAAGTTTATGTTGAAAATTTTTACATCTAATGAGTGGAAACAATTTTAAAATGTAGAAATAAAGATGTATCTCAAAAATCTATGGGAATATTATTTTAATGTTGAAAAACCCTCTAATTGATCATCTCGACATCGAGTTGTATGAATGTGAAAAAAAAAAAAACATTTTGTCCTAGAAATAGGGCATCTTGCAACACATTATCTAGACCGTCCATTTTAAAGATTTTCGTATGTTTATAGATCTAATTGATTTTATAAGGTTGCAATTTAAAAAAGTAGAATTAAAGATGCACCTCAAAAATCCATAGGAAAATGTTGTTTTAATGCTAAAAAACCCTCTAATTGATCATCTCGACGACAAGATGTATGAATATAAAAATAAAAAATAAAAAAATTTGAGTCCCAGAAATGGTGCATCTTACAACATATTATCTAGACCGTTCATTTTCAAGATTTTTGTATGTTTATAGATCCACTTGATTTTAACCATTTTTTTAGTTTACATTTTTTTAATTGGATATGAAAATAGATTTTTAGATAATCCTAAGAATTTTTTACACCAAAATCACATGTTATGATAAAATTTGGAGGCGCGCTTTAATTGGATTGTTTAATATTGCAACTTTGTAGAAACCACACCCAAAGATAAATGGTCTATTTGTAGACAATCCTCTACAAAAAATATTTTTCTCATTTTATAGTTGTTGACCTTCCTGGCATAAAACCAAATTGGTTTTTAGATGCACACGTTTCATGCCTTAGTCGTTGCTCAATCACCCTCTTCTAGAGCTTCATAGTACAGATCATAAGATTAATGTGTGAACTATCAAGGCATCAAGCTTACGAGCCATACTATGAAACTCTAGGATAAAGTGATTGAGCAATAACTAAGGCATGAAATGAGTGTATCTGAAAACCAATTTGGTTTTATGCAAAGAATATCAATAACTGCGGCTATTTTTCTACTTAGGCAACTGATTGTGAGGTTTAGGGCAAAGGGAAAAGATATTCACATGGTCTTTATTGATCAAGAGAAAGTTTATGACAAAGTACCTCGAGATCTGATTTGGCGGGTATTGGAAAAAAATGAGTCTCAATATACTACATCGACTTGATGAGAGATAAGTGCGATAGAGCGCTAACTTGTGTAAGAACAACTAGTGCCAAAATGAGTGAGTTTTCAGTTACAATACGTTTACATCAAGGGTCAGCATTGAGCTCGTACCTCTTTGTCTTAGTTATGGACGACTTAGCTAGGCACCTATATGATGAGGTACATGGTTCATATTGTTCGCATATGACATTATTTTGATCGATGAGACTCGAAACGACTTCAACACAAAGTTAGAACTTTGGAAGGATACTTTAGAATCCAAAGTTTTAAAATTAGTGGGACTAAGAGTATATGGAATGCAAGTTTAGTAACAATAGGAGCAATTATGAGGAAGTAGTTAAGATTGACGGCCAAAAAGTACAAAAAAGACCGTACTTTCGATATCTTGAATCGATAATCCAAAAAAATTGGAAGATTGAGGAAGATGTCCCATACAAAATTAGAGCTGGGTGGGCAAAGTAGAGATGTGCAACTGACATTTTATATGATTGCGATATACTAATAAAGCTGAGGGCAAGTTCTATATGGCAAATATAAGACCAACTTTGCTTGATGGGGCAAAATATTGGGTAAATAAAAAACAATATACTCATATAATGAGTACAGCGGAGGTGAGAATGTTGAGATGGATGAGCGGCAAGACAAGAAGGGATAGCATTTGAAATGAATATTTTTGGGAGAGTTTAAGTGTGACACCATTAGGTGATAAGACGATAGATAATAGACTTAAGTAGCCTGGCCATGTGTGGCACCGACCAAGTACAGTACCTACTAAGAGGTGCAGGTTAGTGCATGTAGAAGGATTGAAAAGGGCAAGAGGTAAGTCCAAAAGAATGTAGTTGGTAACAATTAAAAAAGATATGAGGACTTAAAGCCTCATTGAGGGGATGGCATTTAATGTAACAGAGTAGCGGACCAAGATTTGGATAGCCAACCCCAATTAATTGAAAAAAAGCTATAATAATGATGATAGGAATTCATAGAGTCACATCCATTATCATCATTAAAGTCTTTACCCAATTATGAGTATTTAATAGAGGGTAGTTTAATTTAAGGGCGAGGCTTGATTGAGCCCTAGCTTTATTGAGGGGCACCACAAATATCACCACAAATGCAGTTCAAACCTTCAAATATATAGAAAACAATATCTCAACCTCAACCATCATAGAATTGAAAAATAGAAGATTTCAAAGCTTAAAATGGTTAATCTTGTAATGCTATGTATTTTGTGGGTTGTACATTTTCAAATGTTCACAAATCCACTTAATAAACATTTTTTTGGAGTTTCAAATTATATAGTGAGCATAAGGGTTTCCATGGTCAAAACTGCAATTTTTTTAAGGGGTTATGAGGTGTGACTTTACACGATATTATAAGGAAAAGTATATAATGAAATTATTTATCTTTGTATAAGGTGGTCACAAATAATCTTAACCATTGGATGTGGAATTAGATGGCCACATTTATTTCATTGACCAAACTCAACCTTCAAAAGAATTTTTTGCGAACTTTTTGATACACCCAAGCTCTTAGATTTTACATCAGATGGTTGTAAGTAATTGTAACATCCTTGTATCAAAGGTAAATAGTCACATTGTATATAATCACATATAATATAGTTAAGGTCCTACGACAAACCACCCCCCGTTAATGAAATTATTGAAAGGTGGACAATGTTATAAAGCACTTTGTATATAAATTTATTTTTTTCTTTTCTTTCACTATCAAGATCACTTACAATGTCCAACTACAAATAAAAATCACTCTTAAAATAAATAAATAAATTAAAACCGGTTCTAACTTGCTACCACTTAAATACAACTCCTTTATTCAATAAATAAACATATAGCTTTATGGCAATAGAAGAGCACAACAAATAAAGCAAGTAAAGTTATCAGATATTACCTCAGTCAGGTTTAATACATCCCACAACGAATCTCCTCCTTCAAAAGATGCTCGAGATTAATGATCGATCTCGATTCTACTAAGTATGGCAAAATCGTCCAAAAGCATATGTATCTTATCTTGAACCAAAGTGCTAAGGCCTCAATGCCTTAGCCTATATTAACCTCATTTGCTTAACGTAGAGAGATGAGAGAGAGAGATAAATCTTCTAGGTGGGGTATGCCCCTTCTTCTTTTGATGAGAGACTTGGCAAGAGAGAGAGAGAGATATTCCATAATAGGGCATGGCCCCTAGAGAGAAAGTGAAAGCTTCAAGATAAGATGAGAGGTGTAGAGATTTAGGGAGAGAGAGCCCCCGTTTATAGATTTTCTATGTCTTAGGGTTGTCATATTTAGTGATATCAAATCTAGACTATTGATCTAAGAAGACTTGTATAGTGAGAGATGTGAGTCATCCATTCATTAAATTCACCCTTAAAATTCAAAAGAATGTACTATAAGTTTATCATCCATTTCTTAAACATATTCCCATCAAATATTTAGATAAAAAAGATATACTCATACTTTATCTTTTAATGGATATTCATTCCTTATTCATATAATCTTTACATAGTCAAATATCTTGATCCATAAGACATACCATAATTCATTATTTACATTCTTAAGCTAAGGAAGCTTCATATAAGAAATAGAAAGCCAACTGGCCAAGGTGGCTTGATCCAAAATATGGCAAGCCAACCTTCCATGGGTAGGGCATGCCACCTAGGTGGCCGCTTATAGGCCCCACCCAATTCTATCATGTGCTTCAATTTAAATGGCCTGAACCCTTGTGGTGGGTCTCTCATATTTTTTAGTGAATATTTAAATTAATTTTTAAAATATTAGAAATATAACTTATTTCTCTTTGTTTATTTAAAACATTGATAATTGATTTTTTCTTATATTATAAATCCAAACGGTAAAAATAAAATATCAAGAGAATCACAATAATTCAATTAATCATTCAAAAAATCAAGTAACATAAAATTAATTAAAACTAATTAATTTTGATGGGAATCGAATCTGTATAGGTCTAAGAATTATGAAGATACTGGAGTACTCCACCTGCAACTATGGACTATAATCTGCACTAGTTTTCTCCACCCATGAGTTCATAATTGGGCCATTAAAGTCGGCTAATAGGCTAGGGGATATAATCCCAGTCTATGGACTACAAGTTATATCTAAAGACAAATCTATGGTCCCCCAAACCATCATGCAACCACAACTCAATGGTATATAGGGGTAATCTCTCGCATATGTGCACACTTGAATTGCTATCTCGATACGATTATCAATGTACATGTTGTGTGA